GTTTGTTGTTTGATTTATCATCTACGGGTTTATGTCGAATTAATTTGATGGCCTGCTCCCAGTTGGCTTGTTAGCTCAATTGGTAGAGCGCTGCACTAGTATCGCAGAGGTCAGTGGTTCGAATCCCGTACAGGCCTGAATTTTTTTCAGGTCTGATTTTCACTATTGCTTAAATAGTGCTTTACTGCGAAGGATCGTGCACATATACGTTTCATAACCGCAGTTCATATATATGTATTTCATATGTTTGTTGTTTGATTTATCATCTACGGGTTTATGTCGAATTAATTTGATGGCCTGCTCCCAGTTGGCTTGTTAGCTCAATTGGTAGAGCGCTGCACTAGTATCGCAGAGGTCAGTGGTTCGAATCCCGTACAGGCCTGAATTTTTTTCAGGTCTGATTTTCACTATTGCTTAAATAGTGCTTTACTGCGAAGGATCGTGCACATATACGTTTCATAACCGCAGTTCATATATATGTATTTCATATGTTTGTTGTTTGATTTATCATCTACGGGTTTATGTCGAATTAATTTGATGGCCTGCTCCCAGTTGGCTTGTTAGCTCAATTGGTAGAGCGCTGCACTAGTATCGCAGAGGTCAGTGGTTCGAATCCCGTACAGGCCTGAATTTTTTTCAGGTCTGATTTTCACTATTGCTTAAATAGTGCTTTACTGCGAAGGATCGTGCACATATACGTTTCATAACCGCAGTTCATATATATGTATTTCATATGTTTGTTGTTTGATTTATCATCTACGGGTTTATGTCGAATTAATTTGATGGCCTGCTCCCAGTTGGCTTGTTAGCTCAATTGGTAGAGCGCTGCACTAGTATCGCAGAGGTCAGTGGTTCGAATCCCGTACAGGCCTGAATTTTTTTCAGGTCTGATTTTCACTATTGCTTAAATAGTGCTTTACTGCGAAGGATCGTGCACATATACGTTTCATAACCGCAGTTCATATATATGTATTTCATATGTTTGTTGTTTGATTTATCATCTACGGGTTTATGTCGAATTAATTTGATGGCCTGCTCCCAGTTGGCTTGTTAGCTCAATTGGTAGAGCGCTGCACTAGTATCGCAGAGGTCAGTGGTTCGAATCCCGTACAGGCCTGAATTTTTTTCAGGTCTGACTTTCACTATTGCTTAAATAGTGCTTTACTACGAAGGATCGTGCACATATAAGTTATGGCTTTGTTGGTTTTAACTCAATATGACTGGAAACAAACGGGAAAAATACTACAGAAAAAAATCCTCTTTGCAGAGGTTTAAAGGTTTAATACTAAATTATGAATTTACACCTAGCCTGGGTTTTGAACAACTCAGCCATAGTTAGTAGAGGAGACGAACTATGACTCAGCCCATATCTCTATCTGAAAGCAATAACGACGGCTTCCGGTTTACAGGCGAAAGTAAGTGCCCGGATGGTAAATGAATTCTTTATAATGTGCAGTCTTTCCTAGTTTATTGGAAACTGTGAGCTTCAGTCATGGCTACGCTTACGGCGACTTCAAGGCTGAAACCAGTTGATAAAGGAGGAGGGGTGTTGAAATATCAGCTTCCGTTTGTGTTGAAGAAGTTTGTTATTGAGTGGGTAAGAGATCTAAGTATTGATGATAGAGCTGCGTTCAGGTTTATGTGCCGTTATGATGTTCCGGAGTCAAGGTTGAGTGAAAATATTGAGAGAGATGGTAACATCTTCAAGTTAGTCGAGTTTCTTATTCAAGATGGTAGGTTGTCAGTTAAGGATGTGTCGTATTTGAAACGGTTTCTCCCTACGATAGGGCGAGAGGATTGGCTTCAGAGGCTTGAAAAGGTTGAATTACGTATGTTTATCGGTAATATAGTCGAGGATTATGTGAAGTTGAAAGCTTTTGCTCGCCAAGATGGCGGTGCATCGGATGCTGCTTGTTGCTGTGATATTGTTGTAGCTCTCTTGGTAGAAACTAAAACGCGGAATAAGTGTTTGATCGAGGAAATTTTGGGTCATTTGAGTGCAGTTGATGGCGCAGATGACGGTATCGATAGTGATATAGTTGATGGTGTCTTTCTGCGCATTTGTAACAAGATTATGAGTTCCCATCGATCTTGGTTTGGACTTGTGGCTTGCTTGGTGATCATCGTTGGGTTGTATGGGTCGTATAGCCGTTATTTAGGAACTCCGGTTGATGTGGCATTAGATGGGTATTACGTATGCGCCTTTAGTGGAACGAAAACAAGTCAGTTGTTAGCAGAATGGATTTTAGAAAATGGTGGAAGGGTAAGTGAATCAATCGCCGCTATTATTACTTTCTCTTTCAGACATAACGCAGTCCTAAATTATGGGTTTTATGACAACGCGATTGTAAGCAGAACCGAGGCTAAGCTAGAGTTAAAGCTAAATATATGAGACTATATAAGACAAATCTGTGTCTTACCAACAAAGTCGCCGCATAATTATACACATGATGAAATAGAAGCAAACTTTAATTGTAACTTTATATGCTTTGATACTACTTGGTATAGTTTTATTACCAGCTTCACATTGATTAAACATAAAGGTAGCCCTCGATGAGTTAGTTACATATCATTAGCTTCATCGGGTTGTAATGCTTTATTCCTATCGAGCATTTTGTAGACTGAAATTTTAATTGATATAGGATACTGCATGTGTATGGATGTCTATACAAAACATTTATGTAAATGATAGGTTGACTCCAACTGTTAGTGTAAAGGAAAATCTGTTGCTAACTAAAGTAAAGTCATCACAGCATACCATCCGGCTTTCGATCAAAGTATTGGATCAATCATTCTCGATCTTTTTTTCGCGTTTACTCGGATGGTGGTAGGTTTATTAACTTTTGCCATCCAAATAAGCGATTAAAATGTTTATCATGTCTAACTCATGCGTGACTGAAAAACAATCCATATCCAAGAAAACAAGACAGTTATGCAAATTTATCCTACATTTGTTTAGTCTGGGAACGCTTGGAAAGTTTTGGTTGAGGAGAAAAGACATTCTCTGTTTTGAATTTAGTGCAATACTTACCAAAGAATAAGAGAGGAACAGAAAGACATGCACAATGTATTTGTTTTAGGTTAGGATTTCGCATCAATTTAACAAATGATTGTCATTCTTGACTTATCAGGAAACCTTTCAGAAGTTTGTCAGGTTGCAGCGAAGAGAACTGGACAGCGGATCAGATATTTCAGAAGTGCTTAGCGAAATGAGAAGGATCTTACAGAACTGTGTCGCGATTTAGAACTTTCGTGCAGGTTTCATAAGGATGAGTAAAGGAAGTTGGTGTCAGTGGTGTCATTGGTAACAGTAAACCAAGTTAATTAAAAAAACTAGACGTCCCCTCTTGTGGACTGCCACCTTGCCGTGGTAGAGGGGCTTGTGCGTTTCAATGATCCTGAGAACTTAGCCGGTGGAGGCATGTGAGCCTCTGGCAGGTACAACCAAGCCGGAAAGATCAAAGGGAAGAAACCAGACTAAAAGGCAGTCAAAATGCGAACTCGACATGATACCTTGTCACGTTGTACACTAAAATGTAACGTACTTGAAAAATGCAGGTGTTCCGAGCTTGTAGCTTCAATTTCAACTTTGCAATTTTATACGTATTGTAAAGGATGTCTAAGTGGGAAATCCACGGACAAACAGGCAAAAAATGTAAAGGAATCATGTAAAAGTAAAGAACATTTGATAAAATGCATAAACAAGAATAAATCTCAATCAGATCCAGCGCCGATCGACTCATTCTTTTGTTTTTAGTCGAACACATTCAAATAATTAAGAGGAGGAATGGACTGCATCCTTTTTACCGGTCATCAGCGATCGAGTTGGCCGAGTATCTCGTGCAGTTGATTGAAGGATTTCAGGGAGAAATTAAAGTGAAAGACATTAGGGAATTTAAGCAAACCACGACGGCGACGGCAACGAGAACGTGGAAAACCAATAGACTCTAATTGATAAAACAATAGCCTAGCACGTGTGTTTTAAAACTTTGTACATTTCTTAGCTGTCCTTTGCAAAACAACAACGTGTAAGCACCAAAATTTGCCTCGTCTGCGAACCGAAACCGCAGCGGCAAATTGTTTTAATTTACATTTGGAACTCAACGCTACTTTTATGCGTTATGTTGAGTTTGTGGTCTGGCACCCTATGAAACGGTAAACACATGCATCCATTTTCGAAATTCTAACTAAAAGTTGAAACTCATTTTTTAATCGACGTCTTCCGTGGCGTTGCCGTCGTGACTGCTTAAAGTCCCTAGAGTGAAAAGCACAGACGGTGCTAACGTGAAAGATCATTGGCTGAAATTTATCAACGAATATATTGCATGGAACTCGAGAAAGACGTCGAGTAAGTTCTCTATGCTTGTTGCCCTGGCTGAGAAAACCATTTACGCTTCAGCTTTACGACATTGACCCTATCGCTATTAATAAATTCCAAACTTGAGAAAGTTGACAACCGGCTTCTACAGACAGAACTTTGGAACGCTAAAATCATGATACAAAAGTTTACAAGGCTTTAACCCTGCATCTTTTTATCCGTTTTCCTTTTGTTTTTCTTTTAAATACTCGCGCGCTGGCGCCATTCGTACCCATCCTTCGCGCGCCGAAAAACTATATAGAGCCACCTTAAGCTGGGGACTCTTCACAGTTCGTGGTTTTTAGTCCTCGTGTGGGAATGTACTTGTAGAAATCAAACTGTTCTTGTTTTTAAAATTGAAAACATTCATTTTTCAATATCTACTTTTTTTCTTAAATACTTTAGAGGATGAATGTCACATAGCGGAGACCTATCGTTAGATGAGCCGCTACTAACCCTTTCACCATTAAAAGTGACTAGTGTCTAATTTATCCCCACAGTATCATCCCTGAATCACACATTAAGGTCAGGACAGAAAAAAAGGAAGTGATCTTCCACTAAAGAAGCTCTTGATTGTTAAATAAATTCTCCCAGTAAGCCTCCCAGGATATATTTTGAGAACAATATGGAGATTGTGCGTATTGATGTCAGACATCCTGTACTTAGTGACCACTAACCCTAGTTTTATGAAACAATTAATTGGAAATTAAATGGAAAATTTATTTGAAATAGTGGACGGCTAGTAGACGTCATATTCTTTCGTCGAACAACACAAAGAATGAAAACTATCCAGTTCAAATGCCCCAAGTGTCCCACAGAGATTTTTTTTAACCTTAAAGTAAATTCTGAAAAAGGAATCGAGTCACATATCTAAACCTGTTATTCTTTGTCTATGCATCGAACTTTAACTTATCCAGGAGTAAAATCATTCTGTTGTTTGCTTTTATGAACTGAGTTTATAATGCAAATTGCCCCTAGAGGATTTCAAGCTGACGCTTCGAGCTCTGACAACGGGGTGACGCTCGAAACGTCGGCTTTGAAACTCTTTACTGTGGTAAATTTAGTTATATTATTAACGCAGTTGATGGAGTTTCGAATTTATTTTACTGCATGTGACCTGAATATTGAAATTTTTAGCCACATTTGAATGTAACGTAACAGCGATGCAGTCGATTTTTGTAACACCAAACGGCATTTTCCGTTGTTACTCCCTTCTTGCATATGTGCGTAGAGGAAGAAGGAGTTATGTGCAACACAGCATTTAGAAATCCAAAAGAGAAAGTAGCCTGAGGAGATTTATGTTGTCACAATGGTTACTTTAAATCTTATTGAGAATTTATCATAAAGTAATTACTGTTGCAACCAACCATTAGTAGGGACCTTAAGAATCCACGACGGCGACGCCAAGGAAGACTTCGATTAAAAAATGAATTTCTGCTCCTAGTTAGAATTTCAAAAGCGGCTGCAGGAGCTTACTGTTTCATACAGCGCCACAGCTCAACTTCAACATGAATTTCCAAATGGAAATTAAAATAATTTGCCGTCGCGGTTTAGGTTCGCAGACGACGCAAATTTTGGCGATTTCACGTTGTTGTTTTGCATAGGACGGCTAAGAAATGTACAAAGTTTGAAAACGCACGTGCTGAGCTATTGTTCTGCCAATTAGATCTCTTGTTTTTCCACGTCCTCTTTGCCGTCGCCGTCGTGGTTTCTTAAGGTCCCTAGTGTCTCATGTGTACTGGACATAACAGCGAAATCACCCGTGATAGCAAGTCAAAGTCGCATGCCTTACTGAAAGCTCTGACGTTCAGCACTATTGCAATGACACTTGCTAAGTGGTAGGCCAGGAATGACAACACTTGTCCACATCGGTTTTGGTATTTGATATCAAACTTAAAAATTTTTCAATAGCGCCACAGAAAATTTTTAGATATCTCTTACTTGTACTCTTTTGTTTCGCTTCTGCATTTTCTTTCTCTAATGCTTTAACTTTCTTTCCATTTGTCCGTTTTACCTCTATGTCATACTATGAGGTTTACGTAAGGACGTAAGATTCACCTCCTTACTCCATCCTAAATCTGTTCGACATTAAAAATTGGATTGAACGCGTTGTCCTCTGCCTCCCCTACTAGAGTTTCCTCTGTCCCAAAAGTCGTTCAACTATCTGGGGTGGGACAAAGGCCAAAAGTTTGGCTGAGTTATCAACATATTTCAAAATGGCGTCTGTCGCGTCGTGGCCGTTGGCTAAAATGAACAGGATGGGCTTTCCTTCTTTTCGCTCCATCCTTGAACAGAATACACTTTTGCAGGCCTTACAAACGAGGAGCAGACTAGCAGGAGAATACTTACCGGGAAATAAACGGGCTTCAAAATCTCGAAATCAACGATGAAAACAGTCCCAACGCTAGATAACGTAATATTTTGTCGCTCCGCGTAAGACATTTTCAAAATTCTTATCTTCAAGTTGATTTTGACGTATCTGTCAGGTTGCTATTTGGCTATGTTTTACTTATTTGAAAGCTGATTTGCCATGTTTTAAGGTTTCAGAGATTTCACTGGATTTGACCTTTCTTATTTCTATGCAATTACCTGGAGAGCTATTTCGCTTCTGGTTCGGCCGAGTGAACCTTTTGAGTCAGAATTTTGAACGCGTGGTTAAATTGAATTACTTGAGGGAGCTCAGCTGGAACTTTTCAGCATCGATTTGGCCCACATTCTCGCCATCAATTTATCTGACATTACCACAACCTTAATTCAGCAAATAGAAATAGCATCACTTCTCTTTCTTAAGCCAAACAGAAGAAGGGTACTTCGTTAGATCGCTTCATGTCATGTTAATCCTTTTAAAGTTGGTACAGGAGGCTCACCTCGAGGTATCAGGCCAGGAAAGAGCCCTCCCAGTCCCTCGCAGTTTCCTTTCCCTTTCACCCTCTTCATTTACAACCGATACATAAACTAGGGAGAAAATTAAAAAACAAAGCAAGGAAAACTTGCCTTTAGGAAATCGTCATACCCGATTTTTTTTAAATTTCAGAATGCTGCAGAAAATCCATACAGCATTCATTTTTATACGCATGATGTACGATCCTCGCAGTAGAGAGCGCTATTTATGCAATAGCGAAAAAATCAACCTAACGGCATGTTCCCAGTTGGCTTGTTAGCTCAATTGGTAGAGCGCTGCACTAGTATCGCAGAGGTCAGTGGTTCGAATCCCGTATAGGCCTGATTTTTTTCAGGTCTAATTTTCGCTATTGCATAAATAGCGCTCTCTACTGCGAGGATCGTGCATCATACGTATCTAATACCGCAGTTCAAAATATATGAACTTCATATATACATTGTTCATTTTTATGTGTGTCTGTCCAAGTATCTTCCGATTCTCTTTTCCGATTTTGTTTTTTTTTTAATTTTTTTTTCTTTTGTCTTTTTTTCCCCACGTTTTCTTGTTCTTTTATCGTTTTTTGGACTTTTTTACGTAACATTTTTATATGCATATACTGTTACGTCGTTTTGGCAGTTTTGAAGAATGACTTGTTTAGAAAAAGATAGCCCGCTGGGTCTCCTCGAACTTTCGGACCGCATCTGCTACTGATTTGCTATCTGTTCACACTAGTGTTGCAACTCTCGTCGTTCCCGAAAACCAGATTGTGTCGTCTTCTCACAAAGGTATGAAAGTCGTCCTGTATTTAAAAAACGAAAAACAAAGCAAAATAAACGAAGGAAAAATGAATAAATAAATAAAAGTTATGAACCCAAGAAACACTTTGTTAGGGTAGTGATTGGAAGAGAGTGGGCGTCCGGTGAAGCGTGTTAAAGCTTGTATAATTACGAGTACTAGAGAAGTTAATAGCTACCTCTTTCTTTTAGTATGACGATAGATATTTGTAAATCTGACCCTTAAAAGCCCCATCCGCTAATGATTTATTCGTCTTGACTTTATGCAAATTTGTAGACTTCCAAAGAGACAAACATTTCGAGGGCTACAAAAACATCTCAGAAATTAAGCGTCTAAATGACTCGAAAAACAATTAAAAGTAGTTTGTACAAGTTTTTAAAACATATTCCCCAGATAAAGTTTGATTGGACATCTTAACTCAAAGACGTTTTACTGCGTCTTTAATCGTGTTTTTAAGGCAAACAAGCTACAGGGAGCTTCGTATATTTCTATTTTTTATACCTAGAGTCTGTCATTACAATTTGGGCTCCTCTGCCCTTAATATTCCCAGCATGTAAACACCTCTAGCCGCCATATTCATAACTCTTTTTCATATATTATCTCTCATTCTTGCAACCAGTTATCATCTTCAGTTAAATCGGCAACCACTCTATCAGAATTTTAGTCTGGCCTATCTCGCATAACTACGCTTGGCTGTAAGTGTAATAACTGTATTAGTATACAATTATTGTAGGGGTGGGGTAGGGTTATGAATTGGTAATTAGGCTTGGGGCTAGGGCTATAATGTTTGGCTATTAGGGCCGGTAGGGTTTCAGGGGAGATTCAGGATTGGGATTAGATGTAGGGAGCTAAGTGATATTTTGGCGTTTTTTATTATATATGTAACTTGGACATATATTTATATACACATCTTTATTTTATTTGTCAAGCGTTTTTGACATGAGCCATTAGGCTCGGGGGATTGGGTAACCACCCCTTACATTACCAACGTGAAATAAATTGTTGTTGTAGGACACGTAGTTAATGAAAACAACCCTCCTAGAGAGAATGCGTAAGGCCCACTGTTTGCGTAAAACGGCAGTTTGGGTTTAACCATGTGTAAATAACCAGTCACAACTGTCTTTGGAAACTCGATCAAAGCAGAAATGCCATGACGGATTAAAAAAAAAAAAAAGGTTAACTTTAATAGCTAACACAATTATTGGTAACCCAGTAGTTTACATTGTGGGCTATAAAGAAATAATTCAAATTGAACATAACATTGTTAAGAATCCCAACTGGCCGGAGGCAAACCAGTTGGCTATTTACAAGCATGGCCGAGGATTTGAACTCGGAGCCACCGTTAAACAAATTCAGGTAGTGGTCAGGGCGGGACTCGAACCCGGGAGCGACGGATTGCGAGTCCAACACGCTGACCACTCGGCCACGCTGCCTCGTACTTAGCACACACAATTATAATGACTCAATCGATATCGATTTTGTTCGCAGCCGCTCAGTTTTGAACCGGCCTTGGATTCAGGAGAAGTCGCACAAGAAGCTAGAGTCACTCTCAGCTATCGCCTTGCGCGACTCTCACGCTTCTTTCGTGCTTAGAAACCTCACACGTGCATTCATAACTCAATAGTGTAACAGGGTACGCTGTGGTGTTTACCATTTGTCATCTAGAACATAAAAACAACGTCGGCCTATTGCCCTTTCGGATAGCTTTAAATACACACCAACTCTCTTTGGGGTTCTGTGGATCTTTATTGCCTAGACAACCGCTAAAGCACCCTCCCGGGAAGGGTGGGGTGGGTAAAGAAAATTTTACAATGATACTGCTGCACGTGCTAGCTCGCTAGGATCGTATTAATGAAGTGACACTCAATTTGCCGACATATGTACATGGGCCTGACTGGCATTTCCGTAATATATATTTAATCCTGATAAACAGGTTTATCACTCACGTAAGGTACCACTGAAATACACAATATAAACTACGCGGAAATTACCATGTTTACACTCTGTTGAACCACGCTGTTTTTTTAGACACAAATTATCTGCACGTTTGACATTGACCCTACAGCTATCAATAAATTCCAAACTTGTGAAAGATAACAACCGCCTTCTACAGGCCGAACTTTAGAACGTTGAAATCATGATACAATCGTTTTCAAAGTTTAACCTTGTATCTTTTCATTAGTTTTTCTTTAAGCCAAAGTAAAGCCCCAAGTCAAATTACCTCTTGTAGAAATTTTGACTTACTTCAGTCTAGCTTACTTCAGAATTTACTTTATTTTCTTACCGAAGATAGTGAATGCTATACGTATTTAAGTAGCTGTATAGAGAAACCTTCTCTAATGGAAACAAAATATCTCGTTTATAACACCTCTGCACCTTCCGTTAGCTAACACATATCCACACAGAGTATAAAACAATTTTAATCTTGCTATTGTTGTGAGACGAAAATGGAAATGACGTAATAGTTAAGTGCCCGGATGTCTGGAGCAATATGTTGTCATGCGCTCTTCTTAAGTTCTTGTTTTTTCCTTGAATCGTTCTAAATTATGGCCTCAAGAGCAGCTGCTTCTGGGAACAGAAGATCCTTACCATCTCCAGTCAGCATAATGAAATATCAATATCCTCAGGTGTTTAAGAGCTTTATAGTTCAACTTGTGAAGTCTTTGAATATAGATGATCGTGCAGCATTTGGTTTTTTATGCTTAGGCAATGTTCCTGGCTCGAAGTTGGATGGCAACATGGCTACCGATTCTGAGTTATTCGCGTTAATCAAATCCCTTTTGAACGCAGATCAATTATCTTTCAACAACATGACACTCTTAAAATATATCCTTACGTCAATTGGACGCATTGATTTATTGCAAGAGCAGGAAAAAGTGGAATTACAAATCTCAACTGGTATGGTTTTGGAATATTATCGAAAGTTTAAATCGGTTGATGGCTTCCGCCCTGACGCTCATGCGAAGCTTCCTGATGATAGCCTCGGTGATATTGTGGAAATTTTATTTACGACCAAGGAAGAAAATCTAGGGATGATAACAAAAATTCTTGACCAACTCAGGCAGCTTGGTGATACTCAGCAGATTTTAAACACGTTCATTCTTAACTCTCAGCTGTCTTGGTCACTCTATACAATCTTACTGGTTATAATCGGCGAAAACTATTCACCTTGGCTGAATTCGGAGACTTTAGAAGATGGTCAGTATTTGAATTGGTTCACAAAAACCGAAACAAGCAGATTACTGGCAAATTGGATGTTTAGAAATGGTGGTTTGGTGAGTAAAGTGAACGTATATACGACATACACTGAACATATCAATAAGCCTACAAACATAAGCTTAGAATGCTGAAACGCAACCTAATCAATGCAAAAGGTACACGTTTTAAGAAAGCCAATTCACTAATCAAAATCATGATTGTATTAATCATGTCCCTAAGACCTAACTAACCATTCTTCTCCAACAGAAACATCAACCATAAGAAAAGTTCGCGTCGGAAACTTCGCGTCGCTGTTTTGATTATCATTCGAGTCCATTGTGCAATTCAGCAAGAATCGGTTGATTTTGATCTTTAAGTAGTAATTTGCGATTCGTAACAATGACTAGTTTGCTAGAGCTATTTTTTTTTTAGACCAACGGTTTATAAGTTACCGTACTGTCATAGAGTCAAACTTTTTTAGGCGTCATGTTTGAGGTTGTACAATAACTACTCTGACTTTTCAGAAGGCTGGAACTTCTGTTCATTTTTCTTGAATCTTTGCTTTTTCTATCCATTTGGTCATTCTATATATATATATATATGTTCAGTGGGTTGGCAACACTTCGAAAGTACAGTATTTGATGAAATCCAAAAGGCTCATTGGTAAAACATTTCTCGTGGCGCAGAGAGAAAAACAAATCCGTGCTCGATGAATTAATGCAAATTCAGGCCTGTTCGACAGTTCTCGAAAGTTGCTCAAGCGGAGAAAAATAACTTGGTGATCTAATGTATTCAAAGACTCATCTGTGAAAAACCATCTCTGAATTAAGGCTGATAGTTTCGAAAGAAACTGTTTGGGGCTGCGTCGGTGGGAGTCATCTCTGAATTATCTAGAGATGAATTTCCTAGGGAAATTTCCTAGCGTCGGTGGGAATCATCTCTGAATTATCTAGAGATGAATTTCCTAGGGAAATTTCCTAGCGTCGGTGGGAATCATCTCTGAATTATCTAGAGATGAATTTCCTATTTCTTTTATAGGCTGTTAGAAAAGATTGCTTACAATAGAAACTCCTCTACGAGCGGCGAGACTTTAAGGCAGCTCGCGCCGTTGTTTGTCAGTTGGTCAATTTAAAGCCGCCAAAAACTAATGAGCCATTTATCTTTTATTTGAACTGTTTGCCAGGAGACCTACAGGGAATTCATCAAAGGGAGGAAAGGCGCTTCAATTAGTGAATCAGTGTTACGTAACATTGGAATTTCCTTGAGTCAAGACATCAAGCTTCTCGGAGATCGCGTTTAAATCAAGTATTAAAAGTGAAGGGATTATTGTTGATTATTTCATTATGCTGAACATTATATTTCACATAAATTAATACGATTCAAAGGTGTCTCACAATACTTTTGACCCTCCTGTGACAATGCAGGAAGCTCAAAAATATTGTGAGAGACCAACACAGAGACCCCTCTCTCGACTGCCACCTTGCCGTGGTGGAGGGGCTTGAGCGTTTCAATGATCCTGAGAACTCAGCCGGCGGAGGTACGTAAGCCTCTGGCAGGTATAACCAAGCCGGAAAGATCAAAGGGGAGGAACCAGACCAAAAGGCAGTCAAGATTCCCACTCTATATCAAGTTGCACCTTTTTAAAATAACGTTCCTTTTTTCAATAATGAAAAAAAGGGGTGGACGTCGTCAACATTTCAAGTCAAGAATTTATTATTTTCGATGGGACTCTACCAGTTGTTCTTAGTTTTAATTTCTGTCTATGTGGTTGTAAATAAAACGCAACATAGCAAAAAATTCCGTTCAATAGCAGTTCTTTTTTTGAAATAATAAAATTGATGAGGAATGTAAAGTATGTAAAAGAGATTTTTGTAAGAAAGAATTGAACAATGGGAAAAACTAAAAAATGTAAGATACACTCCCAAATATACAAAAATGTAAGATACACTCCAAAATATGTAAAAATGTATAAAGATAATAAAACAAGTTCTTTTAAAACAATTTAATATTTGCCTTCCACCAATCGAGTATATCGATTATTGAAAGAAACTTGGAACTACCAAAAATCCAATCGCAGACAAGTCGCAGGGACCTTTCCCTTTCATTTATTTCAATTCCGCGTTCATTCGAGGGGTCGCTTATTTTTACCTTCCATTAGCCAAAAGTTCTCTTAAAAGAAAATTGTTTTGCTCCCGAGTGTGTCTGGTTTGAAAAAGTTGTGCCTTCCTTGCTATGCGCGAAGATGAATGGTGCAAAGGATTTTAATCCTGTAAGGAGACTGAAGTAAATATGACGTAATTGTCGGGTGTGTGTATACATACATACATAACCGTCTGACGATCGCAGCGCAAGCTGCGTGAAACCCAGAGTAACGGTGAAACGATCTTCCTGTCATTAATTTATAACCGCTATTGAAACGCTCTGCAACCCGCATCGAGCACTTTTTCACAGCCACGACTTCTCCTAGTCTGTTTACATACATACATACATACATACATACATACATACATACATACATACATACATACATACATACGTTAATTGACCACTCCCCATGGGGGCTTTTCAGGGCAAATTCCCACCCAGCAACCACCCTAGGGGAGCACATCCATCACACAGTAATCTCGTGCGTGGGAAATTAACGTCTCCTACCCCTAACCCTGGAGGAGACGGGACCTCCATTTATTCGTCCCTATTCGAGAAGACTAGAGTATCAAACTATTTCTTGATGTTATACAAAGGTAGTATATTCTTGTCACTTGTTTTAAGACCTTGAGTGTTGCTCCGGCCGGGACGCGAACCCTCGACCTCCCGCACAACAGTCCAGCGCTCTAACCACTGAGCTAACTGTGGAGGCGGTTATGTGTATGTCCAGAGCAATGTCTCATCATGCACTCTCTATCAACATAGTTCCGTGTTCACCAAACCATATCAACTTTGGAAATATCAGCAATCACTTTGCGCCACAAACGCTTTTTTTCATCGCCTTCTCGTGTAATGAAATATTAGCATCCTCCTTCTTTTAAGACGTTTTTTATCGTGCAGGTTTTTAGTTAGGTGCCGCGGTTAAGTTTAATTCCTGAATTGAAGCCAGATGGCAGCAACTGGAAAATATGAATCCAATCCTCGTGAAACTTACCCAAATTCCCTGCAGAGTCATTCGAGAGCGGAGCTTGTCGGCGTCAAGACGCAAATCCCTCCTACATCTTTAGTTTTCTTGTTTGTCATTCACACTATCCGCTACCGAGAGGAGCCAGGGCTCCGGGAACGAGAGCGGTTGTGGGAGGAAAAAAAAAACGTGGATTGCCCGGATGTGCTGCGAACTTAAGGTTTTATCGTACCCCTGTATCATAATTTATTGTCTTTCAGTGTCAGCGTTAATTAAGTTGATGCCTTTTTTTAAACACAGCAATTCAACCCCAGACAGTTTGTTGCAGATCTATTACCCTCGTGTTTTCATCAGGTTTCTCCTTCGCTTTGCGAGGGGTTTAACTCTCGGCAACCGAGCAGAATTTAAATTTTGGTGTACGGGACAAATTCCGGGTCGAAAGCTAGACATCAACCCAGCTAATGATTGCGAATTTCTAGCTTTGATCAAGTCTCTTCTAGAATCCAATGTAGTTACCCTCACAAACTTGTCTCTAATTGAAGAATTTCTTTTCATCGTGGACCGAGACGATTTGCTGCAACTATTGAAAGAAGTCGAGCTGCAGGTCTCTCTAAGTCGTGCACTTGAAGTTTACATAAGTTCGGTGAAAGACCTCCGCTATGGTGCGTCTATGAAACTTCCCTATGACCAAACAAGCATCGTAAAGTTTTTCCAAGGAGTTAAAGGAAGAAATGAGGAAGTGATTTGTCTGGTCTTCAACCAATTGAAGCAATTTGAAGAAGACAGCATTATTCCAAAGATAATCGACAGCTCTATTCAAGAGATCTCTCAGCTATCGTGGTCCAAGTTCACGTCTTATTTGGTGTTTATTGGCGAGTTCTATGCTTCGTTTAGCTGGCGACATACACAGTTACCCGATGTCAAAGCAGATGGTTACTATATGAGTCTCTTTTTGGACACCAAGACATGCGAAAGACTTTCGGGATGGATGCTTAAAAACGGAGGTCTGGTAAGTGACTGAAATAAATACGCAACCTCTATGAAATTGAGATTCACAGGCAAAATTTCTCCTGTGTTCCGACTCGAGCAAGTTCTATTGCGAAGTGGATAGGAGCGGAAATTGTTAACACGGGTGAAGTTAATTTGGGTTTCTGATCGGAAATGGAGAACATCTTTGGAAAAGATGCGAGGGCTGATAAAATCTTCGTTACAAAGTACAGTGATTGTTTGTGCCACGTAAACAGAGGCCGGTTCCTCAAATCCAAATGAGCTGCTTTTATGAAATGCGCTTTTTTTTTGTAGTCATTTCAACGACCATCATCGGTGGTTTGAGCTCCAGCAGGCAAAACTATAATCAAAAGTAGAATATGGTGTTAAACTATACTACTAAAGCAAGAAACTCGCGAAGAATCGCCAATAATCTTTAATTTTTTATTAACTCAAGTTGGTTAGCAGGTTCAGCATTCACTTCCTACCGGTCTGGCAAAAGATGTATAAACAACTCTTTAAACATGCACAGACAAAAGCAATCCTTGCTCATGTTTGTTGAAAGTCGGCGCAAATTTCAATGTGCTCGATTTTGATCCTCTCACAAGAAACAAATTGAGTTTTGGGATGATTTATGGGCTTAGAAATAGTGTCTAAAATAATAAGATATTTTTGAAAGTTATGAGATATATATATCTTATTAGACGTTTTGTTGTGCAGTATCGCTGAGTATTTTTACGAGTTGTGCCGTATTTTGACGAGCCCGTAGGGCGAGTCAAAATACAAATAACGAGTAAAAATACTCAGCGATACTACACAACAAAACGTCTAATAAGTTATTTATTATCCAACACGCCAAACTGTTATTTCAGTGCGGGCGAATTTCGCGGATGTTTATTTACGGGGAGCGCGTGACAGAAGTATGCGAAGCGGAACGGAATTGGCGCGTTGTTGTGCTGCTGTTTCTATTTTCTTCATTAAATGAAGAAATTTTCTGGTCGTCAAGCTGTTTTTCTTCGTTCGATTCATCTAATGAACTTGGATCTATATTTGCCAGCCATTCTGACTCTTCGTCGTCGGAAATATGATTCAAATTGTCCGCCATTTGTTTTTTTTTT